AGGAAAAACTTCTTTACTTTGAGGGTGGCAGAGCACTGGAACAGGCTGCCCAGAGAGGTTGTGGAGTCTCTTCCTCTGGAGATACTCAAAACCCACGTGGATGTGTTCCTGTCCAACCTGCTGTAGGTGAACCTGCTTTGTCAGGGGGGTTGGACTAGATGATCTCCAAAGGTTCCTTCCAACCCCTGCCATTCTGTGATTGAGCTACTTGCCTTGCAAACTAAATTACTGCATGTTCCTTCTATCCCAGTGAACTTCAGACCTTTACTGACATGATGCGTACGACCAGAACAGAGGCCTGTGGCCTTGGGGACTTTGGAATGGGACGTGTTAGGTCCTTGTTTGAGCTACTTGGCTGTGATATTTTGCTTGTTAGAATGTTACAGTGCTTTGCTTTTTGCTCACAGATTTACTGATCAGGCTCTAACACTTCATTTTGCAGGATCTGGCCTAGTTCTGTCCTGTGGGTCGAACTCTTTTGGACAATTAGGAGTTCCTCAAATATCAAGTCCATGCTCAATTCCACAAAAGATCGAGGTAAAGATTTAAAAGGAATTGTGCTTCAGAGCTCTGTACTTTATATTGCTTCTAGCAACTTACAAAGGTTGTCTGACCTCAGTGGGCTTTAAGCCAGACTCTGTTACAGTAAACTTCTGTTACAGTAAACTTACAAAATAAAAGATGAAAGATGGTCGTTGACCCAGAAATGAGAAGCTAAGGCTGCCTTTCTTGTTGTACAAAGAAGTTGCCTGCTTCTAATAGAAAGTTGTCTCTTTCTCTAGCGATTATAACATTTCATGATGTATTTTGATAACATCTGTAGAATGAGTCTGCTCAGATGATGTGAAGTGATACTAAAGGTACTGAAACTGTTCAAATTTACTCCAGCTGAAATTTTGCATCAAGTTTGCAAGTTACTAGATACGTTTTGCTATGTGAAGGGTATGTGCCTTCATTTTACTTTGTTGGAGGTTTTTGCTTAACAGCTCAAAGCAAAACAAAATGAGCCAACAATAATCCATCCTTCTAAAAAACAAACTGCATGATGAAGTTCAACAAAGATAGCTATGCCAGTTCTTTTGATCTATTGCTCTTGTGCTTCTCGTGCAGCAGTTTTGTTGAGTACATGTGAGTTTTTTTAAGTGTAGCTGTCAGAGTTTCTTCCCCCCCAGATGAGGACTGTAGCATTATTTCTTGGCTGTAAAAACAGCTAGATAAAAATTAGATGAGGACTGTAGCATTGGCTGTAAAAACAGCTAGATAAAAATAAGCTTTGTCACGCCCAAAATAATAGAAATTTGAGAAAGTATGCAGCTGCAGGAAAAGTAGACCTGAGAGAATAAACTTTATCACTTTTGACATTAAAATGATTTTTACTTTTACATGCTAAGGAACTGCCAAATACATTGAGTTGCTTCTTATCTAACCTCCAGTATTTACCAAACGATATCAACTTCCAAGGAAATAGGATGGAAAGTTGGATGACAATTTCTCTGTTGCTGAGTAACTTTAATTGTAAGTGCTAAATGCTGGACCCTGATAGCATAGCTCATGTTGTCCCTGTAAGTCACATGGAAGTCTGTGGTCATACTTGTAGGTGAGGCACTGCTGAGTGTGAGTAGAGAGCTCAGAATGTAGCAAATTAATTGCTTTAGAACGTTTTAAGTAGTAGGTACTGAGCCTTCTGTTACATCAGAAAAGCTTTCCTGTTGTTGGCTATAAGCCTAACAGTTTAACTAAATTTCTCACAGGAATTCTAATTAATCCCTAATTTACACTGTAGTTTCTTATTTGGAGAACACTAATGAAACTCTTTTCCATACACATGACCTCTCGTGTCTAATGAAAGGAATAACTTCAGAGCAGAAAGGATTCTCAGACAACAAATTTAGCCTCGTGGCTCATGCCAGATACTCCTTTGCTTTTTTTAATGTAGGAGAAAGATAGCTGATCCCCTAGGGAACCCCTAGTGAATAGGGGTTAACTCACCTGATGTTTCCTGGGAGCATCATTCCAGTATGGTGTCTTGAAAATGGTAGTATTGACAGTGCTAATCTGAATCTCTGTCCTCCCTGACCACGTGGACCATTCATCTGGAGTATTCATCTGGAGTATTTTCTCTTTTGGTTTGTATCCTGTTAAATGCTTGGGCTTGATGCCATCTATTTGAAATGGTGTTACATCTGTGAGAAGAATAGTAGATTTGTGGAGTACTTGGAAGTGGAGAAGTGCTGGAATTGAAGTACCTTGTGCAAACTGAAGTCACTCATTTTATGCACGTGTGACTTGGTATATAGTCTTCTTTTGCATGACTATATTGGGCAACCTTCAGTGGTATAGTTGGTACTAGCAACTGTATTGCTGGTGATCAGAGGACTTGGTGAGACTGAACAGCTTAATGAAACTTATTACTGCTTGTCACTGCTATTTGCTGTGGAGGTTTTGGTGTAATTCTTGAGGAGCACTGAGTTAAAATTAAGAAATAAACATCTGTGTCACCAAGAAGGTTCCTTTTTTCATGAGAATATTGACTGTGGCTTTTTATTTATTGCCACAAAGCTGTACGTCCAGTTGCTTTGCTTGATTTCTTTTTTTTTTTTTTTAAGATGTTCCCACTAATTTTTGTTGGCCAAAATTTACTTCCTTTGTGATACAAAATGTTGATACACATTGTGACACGCAGGCTGGAATTGCAAGAACTGTTTTCATAGCGTTTCCACTTCCGTGTTTGGCATATTTTGCTTTTAGAGGCACTAAAAGCAGAAAGCAACTAAAATATATTTTTCTTTTACTTGGATAGTCGCTCAAAGAGAAGGTGGTGGATGTTGCAGCAGGACTGAGACATGCCCTTGCTGTTACAGGTACATATGTCATCATTCTTATATCATTTTGGTAACAAATGAAATGGAGTTTAAATGGTGTGGGGGGGGAGGGGAAGAAGATGAAATTTATTTTAGCTTCTATTTATTTATTTTTTTTTTTTTTTGCAATTGAGGGACAGCAAACTACGCATGCTCTTTTATTTGGGTTTAATTTTACATGAACTTTAGTATGGGTTCCAGGTAGTGGAGTCTAGCTGAAGATGCAAAGGAGATGCTTGGAAGAAGAGTGGGATCTCTGAGGCCTGTATGAATATTGGGAAGTAAGCTTCCCTGAGCTCTGTGCTCAGTGGACATCTTGATTCAAGGCTAGGTCAAGTCTCTGGAAGGTCCTGAGGAGAAGACAAGTGACTTTACTCCCTCACTGTGCTGGACTGCACACATGAATTAGCATGAAGAGAAGGAAAGGGCAGAGAAATTGCAATGAACTTAGAGTAATAAATTGTGTCTATTCCTGAGGTGCTACAGCTATGGGGCTTCTGTTACTGGGTCCTCAATAACGTCCTGATATAGGCCTCAGAGAGCTGAGACAGGTTGCTTACTATCTTCTTAGTTTTTTCACCTGTATAAATGAAACTACAACTGTTTGTTGCTTGATGACTTCACCAGGGTTATTTGTATGTTTATGAAGTATGTTTTTGGTATAAAGGTCTTTTAAAGTGTAATTTGAATCAATGAAAATGAAGTGAATGTACCTTTAAAACTAATTAATGAGTTAAGTGATTTTGTTGGTGGTTGATGTGTTTTAATCTCTTCTGTGTTTACTCTGGAAAGAGAGCGGTTTGGTGTTTCAGTGGGGAACTGGCATGGCGTCTCGGGCAAAGCGTGCAAACCAAGGAAAAACCCTCCCCCTGTTCTTGACAGCAAAGGAGCCCTGTGAAGTAACAGGTAATCCAGGAATAGGATTCCTTTGTAAAGGTGGATAGAGTGGAAATATAAGTTGGAGTGACATGTAGCATCCTTTTATTATAAAGCCACTTGGTATTATAAACACGGAGTGGAGTATACACTGAAGGATAGAATGGGTGTACAAGGTCATAATCTATGGGGGAAAATAGTGAGTCTGCAGTATCTATGGCCCAAAAGCAGAGGGTTTTGTTATAAAATTCATCATTATCCTGTTACACTTGATACAGCTCTGTTTTATGTCTATGCATGAAATGATATTTGCTGTAGAAATTTTATGAGACTAACTTTTCTCTAGGCCTGGAAGATGTAAAGGTGAAGAGGGTTGCTGCAAGCTCCTATCATTCGGCGTCACTCACAGGTAGGCCTTGGGTATAGATATGAAAGCCCTTGTCTCGACCTATAAAGGTTTTTGTGCTCTGGAAATGTTTGTCAGTTTTGGTTAGACTTGTAAAATTTGATCTGGTCTTGTTAGTGCTGGTTAATTGTTTTGTCTATGGCTGGACCTGCAGCACCATTCGTGCTGGGTGGTTGTCCCAAGAAAGACTGCTGGGGCCATCCTGCTTCTGCTACGTGACCTAATGCCTCTGTATGGGACTGTGCTGTGCAGGGGTGTGAGATGGTTTGGAGCTATCTTAGGTGTCTCTCATATAACAGCGTGCAGATCTGCATGAGGTAGTGTAAGAACACAAGGCTTATTTAAAGTAGTAGAAAGTTGCTTTAATCACCCGGGCACTTCCATAATGTCTGCCATTTGTTCTTTGATCTTTAGACAGTGCTTGCATGCTGGGCTATTAGTTATCCGGTAATAAAGGTCTAATAAGGATATTATTATTTTTTTTTTTGGCAGACTGGTAGAAGGCGAAACAATAGCTTTTCATGCTGTAATCTTACTGGTTTGAAGTGTGGAAAATATATTGAACGTTATGAAGACAAGTGTTTGCCAAACTTTCTAGGAACAAGTTCTTAGCAAATATGCAGCCATCTGGTACCTCTGTCATCATTAAATGGAGCACTGGAGTATTTGCTTATGCAAATCTACAGAGATTTAATTCTATGGGGAGATGTTACAAGGTGTAAATTATATTGAATTCTGAGATGCAAAGTGTATGTGTGATTAGTGAAGAAGAATTGTAAGAACAAATAGAATCTACTTTAGCTAGTTAGCACTCTGTATTTAGAGAGCGAACAGATTATTCTTTCATGCTTTTGCTTTTTATTTAAGACAGCAGTGTATTTGGTGTCAAGGGAAGCAAGATTAACAAAGTGCCAAAGATTTTTATAATGTGATTCTATTGCTGCCCTTCATCCTGCAGTATACTTGTCATTACTTAAAATACTTTGTATTTTAAGGATAGTTGATATAGTAAAGACACTACTGCAGGGTGTAGTAGTTAAATGGGGATTTCTTTTTTTCTAGGAATCTCTCACACTGTGATGCAATTTTATTTTACTCTGTTTCATGGGCCACCTGCTGGCGGGATACCAAACACCTGCAATCAAGCAGATTTTTGACACAGGCAAACATGAGTGTTGCAAACATGAATGGTGGTTCCTTTAAAAATGGATTGTAGTCTACCTGTATCCAAATGGGCCTGAAACCTCCAGTGATGGGAGTATGGTGCTAAGTCTTAGTGTCTTAAGGTTTTGTTAGAACCTACTCAAGAAATGAGATGAGGGTTGAGCATGTGGCATTTCCCAGGACAAGGGAAACGCACCTTTCTGGAGTCAAAAAAGGAGGCGACTGAAGCAGTGCATGTTAGTTATGGAAACATGCAGGGCCATAATGTTTTTCTTTGTTGAAACAAGCTGTTTCTGTCACACCTTTTTTCTCTCCAGAAGGCAAATGTACTTCACTCTGGGAAAGATTTTATCAACGTTAGTGGAGAATTCAAATGAAGCAATTGCTTGATTTATTTTTCCTTTTCCTGTCAGTTGTGTTGTTTTATTGAGGAATGTGGCAAGTCCTGCAGATGACTGTCAATAACATGTAACTTAACAAGTACTGGCTTCCCCTTCGCCCCCCGTTCTCTCTTGTTTTTCACCAGCAATACTATAGTGGAGTTCTCCTGGCTCATTCTTCCTGTTACTATTACCAAACCGAGATCATTAAATATATTGTAGCCTAAGTATTTTTATTTTTTTTTCCCTCAAAGATTTACCTCTGTCGTGCTGGTTGTAAAGGGTTCAGTGCTGACCTGAGGCTTCTAAAGTGTTGCAGGCATGTGCTCCGAACAATTTCATGTTGCAAATGGTACGGCTTCCAGTCTTTCTTGGCCCATGATCATGTATTTCATGCGTGCAAGATTTATTTCTTATGCTTGTAGCTTGTACAGGGTGGCAAAGGACTTGAGGAGGCCTGATGCAGCTCACGTTCTGTTAAGTGTTTCTTGTGGATTGTATTGTTTTTTTAACATGGAGGCCTAGAACCTAGGCAGAATGATTTTGTGCTGAAAAGATGGAACTAATGATATGTAATATCTGCAGAAGGACTCATCTGAACAGTCATCATGTTACTGTCAATTGGTTGTTAGGCTGTGAGCAACTCCAGTCTGCACCGGTGAAACATATAAAGCAATGTGAATGTTTCTGTAAATATAATTATCCCTGTGGGTGGAATCCTGGAGTGTGCACTTGCACAAATGCTTATTCTAGAAAAGGGATGGGTGAAGACAAGTAATTACTTAGTCTCTCACTAGTTGTCTAGCATTGTTTTGAAGCATGATAATATTTTAATTTTGCCTTATGATGGGAAGTACCTGCTTCGGTTGTATGTTCATAGCTGTGTGTCCAATTTCTTTTGGAAGTGACTGTGCAAGGTGAGACAAGGAGCATTAGACTGTCCCTGCTTTGGAGGATTTACCGAGTTTGCTCAAGCTGAAGAAGGCAGGAGAGTTATGAGCAGAGCTAGGAGTCTGTAGCTCTTGTAGACAGGCTGGGAGACTGTGATGCAGAGCAGGAGTAGCGAGCCAGGCTAGCTAGTTACGGTGTGCACACGTGTGGTTAAGAATGGTAGGAAAAAGCATACGGTGAAAACACAAATTGAATGAAACCTTGTTCTTTCCTCAGGATCACTGAGTTGAGACAGAGCCTGTATCTGGTGGTGTTCTTATGTGTGTGACTTTCAACAAATTTTACTTCTTTGTCAATTGTAGATGAAGGACACCTGTATGTCTGGGGTAGCAACAAACACGGGCAGCTAGTGAGCAGAGAGATCTTTCTTGCTGAGCCCAAGAAGATTGAGACTCAGTTTTTCTCACATGAAAAGATTGGAGCAGTTTGGAGCGGCTGGACCCACTTGGTGGCACAAACAGGTAGGGTATCTAAAAAGCAGTAACATATGGCACCAAACCAGTAAATTGTCTTTATTGCATGCAAACAATGTTCCTTCTCACTGATGCTGGCTGGATGCAGAGTTTTGCAGTTTCACCTGAGCAGTGGTTGTTTCTTGAAAATGTGAAGGGCAGACATCCTTTGGCTTCGGTCCCTGAATTATTATTGCGCTCATAGATCGGAGGGCCTAGCGTCTTCATAAATGCAGTAGCACCTGCATGTACACACTAGGGGAGTGCAGCCTCCCTGCATCGTCAGGTTGCTGGTACACCAGAATATGTATGAGTTTCTAAAGATCGTTCTGCTGGGTGACTTATGACAACTTCTTTGGAGGGAAAAGAATTTGGTGGAAAACTTGCTTCAGAGGGAGGAAAATATGTCTCCAACTTCCAAGATACGTCACTATATTTGGCAGGAAGATATGGGCAAAACTCTCATTCGGGGTGCAGGAATTGGGGGGGGGTAGATAATCCTGACCAAGTGTCTGCCTGAAATGTGTAGGGGAATAGATACATACCATTTCCAAGTCACCCGAGTGTTAGCTGAGGATCTTAAAAACAGGCATAGCTGAGAACCCTCTGCTTCTGCCATCCTATTTGAGAAGACACGGTCTCATTGCAGTAAGTGAAATAAATTAGATGGCTTTGCACAACTGTACTAACCTTTCTGTACTTCAAGAGCGAGCCTAGCTTTTTGTGCTGCTCTTCTTTAGTAGAGTGTTTTAAGGACACATAAAATGTGTTCAGAAGAAAGTCAATAAACTAAAATAAGCTGGCTTGTATGTGTGTTGTTTGTGGTCAAACCCAGAAAATATTTAGAAAGGCTTGGTAAAAAGAGGCATCATTAAACTCGAAGAGCATCCCATGAAGATGAAATGAAAGAATATTTTATGTCGAAGCTGTACCTTCCTGGGAACCTTTGAGTAAGGACAGTGTGAAAGCTTCCACATGCAGAGGGCTGTAGGGTTGGATTCTTTCTTAGGAAGGGATAAGAGGAAGGTTATGTAGTAATGATATTAATGTGTAAAAGGATGGTTGATCTGATGAAGGCAGCTTGAATGCATTTGTATTGTTGCTCTGTTGTGAAATGCAAAGGCAGGAGAGAAAGGTAGATGAGACGGAAAGGTAAGACAGACATCTGAAACTACTTTGTAGTGTTCACATGTGAATGGTCTGTGCTGTTTGCTTCCCCTGTTGCACACTGTGTGGTATGATAGTTAAACAAGAGGATGAAAGTCTTCCATATAACTTTTCTGATTGTTATGTTAGCAGGGGTAGCATTTCTGCTTTTGCCTTGTATAAACTGCTGTGTGAGAAAAAGAAAAGTAGATGAGAGCTTTTTTCCTAGGATCACATTGGAGACTGAAGAGCTTGTTGGTCTGTCAGGACGCAACCTGTTTGTTAGGAAAAATGCAGAGGGGGCCACAGATCTGTTATTGATATTTACAGGGTTCTGCAATTATGGCAACTGGTTCAAGGAGTGCTTAGCCTTCAGTATGGGTAGTGTTATTAAAATGGAATTCTTACATGCCCAAAGGTTAGCTTGTGCTTAAGTGTTCTATTAAATTAGTGCTGTAAATCCTGAAACAGTCATCCCCTTGCTCTGTAAGAAAAGGGTCTGTTTTAATTACCATATACTGTGAACTCATGGTGCTAGAATTTGAGGGATGTGATGTGTGACTAGAAAAACAAATTGGTTAAGTGTTCTGTTTCATAGCATTCATTGTTTGACATCAAAGTGCGAGAGAAATGTCATGTAAAAAACCTGCCTTACTCTAGCTGCTCTCTTAGCTATTTAAAAGAAACAATTGAACTCTGATTTTTAAAGGATGCTATATTGAAAATTTCAGAGCTGTAATCAATGCTACATGTTGCTTGGAAACTTTTCAGGTGGAGTAAAGGAATTTATCTCAGTGTATATTTATTAAATAAAGTGCTTAGTGTCATTCTCACTGGAACAGAAATGGTAGAAAAAAGACCTTAGTCAGGATAACCTAAATTTTGAAAAAAGGGTCTTGTCAACATGGTTTGCCTTGCTTTACTATTTCTTAAAAATGCATACCCCCTGAGTAAAACTTGTCCAAAGTTTTTGTAACTTCAGTGCTTCACTTAGTTGATACTTATCCATGGCCATTATAGAAATGAAGTGAGTATTTTAGAAGGTGATTTTGAGAAGGGAAAAAAAAGTATGTCAGGTGACTAGCAGGGATATTTTTATGTGAATGTTTGAAAGGAATTTAAATAAAAATAGGCTGACTTCTTACATCTGCATTAGAAAACTGGCCAAGCAATGCGGTGGCATAAGTTATTGCTGAAACTGAATTTTTTGTATTTAGAATTTTAAATCTCTTCGAAAGTCAACGGACCTGAACCTAAATCATCCAGAATTAGATTTTTGAATGGCCTTTGGCAGCCTCTAGATACCAATCAGAATCTCATGGGGTTTTCAAGGGTTGCTCAACTACAAGACCTAATGTGAGCTAAGCACTTAACTGTTTCTGAAAAATCACTCGATGCCTGTGATTAAACTTGCAGCTAAGTAACTGAAGAATACAGCCTAGTTGAAAAATTTTCCCTGCATGCAGTTCTTCCTCCATTATTTTTATCTCCTTCTAGCAAAGGAAGAAATGCTGCTTCAGTTTCCTGGTGCTGAAGCCACATAAACCAATGGTCTCCAAACTTTATTGGTTGTACACCCCTATCAGTAAAATTTTTTTTTTGAGCATGCACCCTCAATATATGTATACTTATTTATTTATACATTACAGACATATACTACTGTAGTATATTATGCAAACTATGAGCCATGCACAATAGAAATTTAGAAAAGGATAAGATGAAATAAACACTACTCAAAATATTATTTTATTAACTAAATTAAACCCATTCATAATTTATTAATAAATTAAAATATTAATGTACTTTTTTTTTTTCCTGCCCTCCAGTGGATTCTCTTGCACACTCCCTGGGCTGCATGCACTCCACTTTGGAGGCCACTTATATAAACAATTCCTGCTCATTTTACTCTAGAGAGTTCCACAATTAGTGGAAAGGAAGCAAAACAGTGATTTTTGAACATGGGGAAAATGGGAAGTAAGGGATATTGTAGCATGATGCTTCTTTCTGTTCATCGTGGAAGGTAAGAACATACTTTGGAAAGACAGTGCAGTATATAGGGATTTTGCTGCATGAAAGAATGAATAAGTTTTTTTTTTAATTAATAGTCTTGGCATGATGCAAAATTTAGTAGTTTAGCATTTATGTTACTATATCTGAAGTCTAGTGTTGTGTTTTTCACAGAAGGTAGTGGAATTTTAAGAAGCCGTTACATATACCTAGAGTTCCATTTGGATTTTTTTTTCCCAGAACTTTAATCCTGGTCAGAGTCTTTAATCCTGCATCGGTCTGCTTGACAATATCAACTTTAATTCATGGTCCTTCTCAAGTTGATACAAACCCGTTGAGGGTAACTGCTGAAAGAGAGGTTATTGCTTAGATCATTTAAAAGAGAGCTAAGTTGTGGCCTGTAATGCTGAAGATGTAAATTAGGCTACTTTGGGAAATGCTAGAACCGATCTGACTTGAAGGCAAACCTAAATATAGCACAAGAAGTCTTTTAAAGACTGAGAGGTGAATCATCAATTCAAAACAAGTTATTTTCTTTTTAACTGGGATGTCTAATAAATAAGCTTTCTTAATCTGGCCTGTTTTATTATCTAAGTATTCTCCTAAAAATATTCACCAATCTATTTTTCATGTGCCGTCACATGAAATTATGAAGCTCAGATAAAGTTTGAGCTCAGGTAAGGAATTCCAAGCTCTTTCACCCGGAAGGAGTTACCTTAAAAATGCAGTTAAAATGGTATTTCTGCTGCCTGTGTGAAGCTGCCTACAGCTAAAAAGTCTTGGAAGAACAAAATGGCTTAACATAGTTTCAATAATATTCTGGATCCTCATTCCAAGTGTGTATCTGAATTTGTGCTCCGTTGAACGTCCTTTGACGTCATGTCATTTAGGCCACGTGAAACCACTCTGAAGTCATCTGATAGGTTCTATTTTACCATGTAGGTCACTAACCTATCTCCAGTTTTTCTGAAGCAGGCTAAAATGCATTCCTCCAAACACCGAGAGCAGAACGAGGGAATATTTCTAATTAGCCGACCTGAAAAAGAGGCTTCCTGCTGTAACTGCCCTGGTACGTGCTTTCTCTGATGCCAGTCACTAGGTAAAACTGTCAGGCTTTGCCGGTAAGTGATGCAGTAGATCTGGTGTAACTGCAGGGAGGTGAAGAGGAAGGACGTTGCTCTCTGGCACCCGAGCAGTGCAGTCTCAGCCCACTAGAGGTCCTTTCCAGTTTTCTTTTGAGCGAAAACTCGGCTGCCTTCCTCATACTGGAAAGCATACTTTCTTTGCCTTGAATTTTTCATCACCTCCCAAAGACAGCAAATACTGATTTTTATTTTTTTTTTTATTTTTTTAAATACTTGTCTGTGATAACAGTAAGGTATCTGTTTTATAGGGACTCTCCTTTCATTTTCTTAGCCATTATAGCTGACAGTCAAAGTGTTTGAAACCGGAACCCCTGACATTCTTTTTAATGTGAGGTGGCTGTATTTGATTTGGTAGGATGCTGGGTTTTGGGAAAACATAAAATACTAGAAATTAGCTAAATAAAACCCTGCAAATTGATAGGAATCACCAAACTCCTTTGGAGCAGAACCGGCAAAATGAGTGTTAAAGAAAGAAAAGCCTTTATCCATCTGCCTTGGGCGAAGTAATCTCTAACTAAAATCTGGTAAATGCATTTGCTTTTCTATGGTTTTGTGGTGCGTGGTTGTTCTTGCCTCCTCCTTACAATGCTGTAGCTTGATGTTATGAAGCAATGGGAGCTTATGCTTCAGAGCCTTCCTGTTATGTTCCTTGCTGTCATAATAAATACTGTCATTGTTGTGCAATATAAGAGAAAGCAACAAAGAATGTCA